TACAAAACAAGAGCCTTCAACTGGATGAGCATGTGAACCAGCTCCTTGTACCCTGTTTCTTGCACTGACTCCCTCACTGCTTTCATTATTTGGATTAAGTAATATTTCTTTTTTCTTTCAAAGTCGCAAATACCTGCACAAATTACATAGCATAGCATACCTCCACTAGCACTCGGCCCTGTTCCAAACCAAGAAAGTAGGCTGGACATGCAAGTTATACTTTTTAAAATCTGCAATGTGATTTTATACATTTCAGCAGGAAGCAGGAACAGATTTATTTGATAAAAATAAATATATTCCAGTGTAGCTATATCAGATGATTAACATGTTATTTACAAACTTGGCTATTTATATAATTTTAAAAGCATAAATGAAAGACAGTTAGCAATTTTGATGCAATGCATTTAGAAAAGAGTACTTTCAGAACTAAGTGCCATTAACATTTGAATTTGTTTGTGATCAGGACAGTCTCTATAGTATTGAAGGCTAAAAATAGCAAATAAAGTTATGTGTATAATGGTAAAACTAACAGGGCTTTCATTATACGTCAAAGGTGGCCTCATTCAAATGGCACTCACTAAGTGGTAGCATACAACTGGCCTTGGCTGATTTTGAAAAGCTAAACACAATTAACTGTGATTAGTAATTGGATGGCAGATCAACTGGGAAATCCAGGGCTGTGTGTTAAACTGGGATGTTAAAAATAAAGTTTTGGAAAGGCAACACAAATTATTAGTACAAAATTCTAACTACATCTCTCCATTTAAATCAGTAGGAGTTGCACTTACATTCTAATGAAGAAATTGAAATATGTAGTTTAGAAAGAGGTAAATGGTAGTGTTCTAATTTGCATAGGATGGAAATTGGGAGGGTGATAAAGGGCAGGTTATATCCTTTTCAGAAAATAGGAATAGATTATTAACTAGTGAAAACATGAACATCTCCATCTATTTGTCAAACACCGTGCTAAATCAAAAGACTGCAATTGCTGTAAGTGGAAGAAAATGGCAAAGGTAGAGGCAGACATCCGGGTTGAAGACATTAAAATGAAAACAGTACCTCCTTTGGTGCAAGCACCAAGCAAGTTCACAATGTTCAGGTGAGGCCCAAGGTGGCTCATGATCTTCAGTTCTGACATCAGAGCCTGCTTTTCACTGCTTCGGGCTGTGGCTGTAGGGTGGATGAATACAGTAATGAAATACAGATATTTCTTTTAAGGGCTTATACATGTAGGAAGACTGGGACAATCTTGTTGGACACTCAGCCAGATTAATCATGTACGCTACTATATAGATAACATTATACATTATGGACACCGTTATGCATGCTACGTGATTGGTACCAAGGATAATTGAACAGGAAGATAGATAAGCAATGAATATGGCAATATATTGTTAACGTAAAGGCGGAAGGCAGGCATGGAAGACAGCATGATTATTTGTATTTCCATGGGCTGGGAGGATGAAGAAACAATCCAAACTCACACTTGAGCATTTTCACAGCAACTCTCATGGTGGACTGGGAATGGCTGAGGCTGTGAGCAATTGCTTCCACCACACGCCCAAAGGCTCCAGAGCCCAATGTACGCCCTGCAGCAAACAGAAGATCAAATAGCTATGTATTTTTGCTTCCTATAAAACAGCTGAGAAGCATAAGATTGCAACAGTCAAAAATTCTGATTAAGTTAAAATAAAATATAAAATACATCCTCTTCTCTAACTACAAACAGCTATGGCGAGGGGGGGGCAGCTTGACAGAATTGTTGTATGGACTGTTCTTAATATGAAAGTTTGGGCAGAAAGAGCTATGCCACAGGGAATGACTTAAGGGTGGACCATTGCTGGCCTCTCCCTGACCTGTTAAGAGTGTGATCCCAATTAGCACACCATGCTAAATGTGACCAGTAGGGGCAGAGCAATTACAAATTTCGAGCTTCACATTCTCAGATGATTTGTTTGTTGATGTATTAAATTTCTAGGTCACATCCCTAGTTTACTCTCTAGATAACTTCACAGAATTTAAACAAACAACAATACCAATATTCCTCCTTCATTACTATAGTCTTAACTGTCAAGGCCACTGTGATAATATTCACCAAATACAATTTAACAACTACATTGTATCCAGAGAACCACAATGTATATTGTTTATACAAGCTGCTGATTATTTTTCTAAGCCCCCAATGCAAGGGCCTTTCCCTTCTGGCATTAAAATGGCTGATGTCTCCTTGGCAACCTCTTTTTTTTCTTCCTGACTCGGCCTTCATCTTATTCCCAGCCCAGTTCTTTCATCTTTATGAAGCACTTCAGCACATAGATTCGCAAATGTAAATTACTGGCTTTCCCCATAATATTAAGTACTGCGTATTATATTACATTCTGAATATAGTTATGCCTATCACTTATTTTTCAGCATCCTTTAAAAGTCTCTGAAAAGTATGATGCAGATCAAAGAATGAGGCTTCACCATCTAAGAGCCATCTAGTGAAAAACAAGACTCAGTCCTGGAATTCTGAATGCAACCTTCCCTAATCTTATACAGATGAACTCTCCTCCTCCGAACTGTCATGGAGAAGAATGAGTGAAGTGGTTTCATTATGGACAAAGGCTTTCTGTTCCCCACAGAATTTCATTTAAAAAACTAATTTTCATTGCAAGAATGCTATCTGTTGTCATACATTGGGCAACGGTGGTATTTAGTGGCATCTGGCTTCTATGTATCATATAATAATAATTTTTATTGCGGTCACAGACCAAGATGCAAGTGCAACAAAAAAACACAAGAAAAATATAATCACAAACAATTAAGCACCAGAAGCCTTGGCTAAAGGGAGTTACAACGTTCTCCTCTAATAGTTACAGCTCTTAAAAGAAATTTAGAAACCTGAGAAGTAATATAGGGGGAGCCATCCCCTAGACAATATAAGACCAAATTACTAACATTGGAACCATCGGAATCAATTCCAAGGAGAGACAATAATTTAATTCTGCCTGTGTTATACATAGGGCAGTATGTTATACATAAGACATGCTCCACAGTTTCAACTTCAGCCCTATGGCTTCTATGTATTAAACTTCTCTCTTATCCTGTTCCTCCTCTTCTCACCTAAAACCAGCCTGTCCCTTGGAACCTCCCAGCTGGAATCATAAGGCAGTTGCATAGGGTCCACGTAGATATATTCATGCCCATCAGAGCTGATTGACTCAATCACCTTCCAGCGAATTTCATATCGAGGCTTCTGGTAGAAGGAAACAAAAGAGAAGATGGCAGGGCTACATAACGTGCAGCCCACTGCAAGAGGAGGCGCACTCTGGAGACCTCCTCCTTGAGCAATTTGTGCTATGTCCCTACATATAAAGGCCTTTCTTCAAGGAAGGGTGTTGCCTTCTTTCCTTAAGAGGCTTAAAGTAGCTCAAGTGGTACATTAGAACATCAGCAGAAGTCTCTGCACAGAAATCAACAAACCTTTGAAGAAGGATAGGAGCCGGTACTCTTCCCACCCATTCAATGGACCCCCAAAACAGCCATTTAAAAACAGCTCCATTAGCTCTGTTAGCTTCCATGCTATAAACATAAAAATTCTTCTACAAACTTGAAAAATGTTCGTTCTTTTTTTTAACATTCTCATTTTGATAATAGTTACACATTTAAAAAGCTGACACACTGTCGCTAAGAAAATTGAGAATATAATTTCAAAAAAACAAACAAACCCAGAACATTAATAGTATCTCCTACAGCCCTGATATTTGTTCTACATTATGGGGAATTTTGTAAATCCTGTAATCTCTGATTGTATTTCAGATTATGCTCAGAACCTTAGCATAGTAGACTCACAGCTCATAATAATTGAAGTTAAGCAAATCGGCTATGGTTCTTAGAGCTTTTATTCCCATGGCTTCAGAAGTTTTTTCAGCCAATTGTTCTCTGAAATTCAGCATAATTATTCAAAAGCTGAGAATTTAATAGTCTGAGACTCAGAAGGGCTAAAAGCAGATTCTTACTTTTCGCCACAAGAAAATGAGGATCACCAGGAAAAGAACCATGAGAACCACAAAGGCCACGATTACTGAAATAATGATCACTTTAAAAGGTAGATCTGAAACAAGAAACGTAAACAGAATTACTAAATTTACATATACATTTATGGCCAGTGTTACTCCAATATACTTATTCAGATTTTTAATCCATTTTTCACCTGGACTTCAAATAACAACATTATCATATTCATTTTTAGTCTGCCCATGCTAATTACCCACAGTATTGTTGCTAGTAATTTTGAAAACTTTTGTGCTTTTTGATAGACAAATAACGTAAAATTTTTTTCCTGCTGTTCATATATTTCTCTTTCCCTGCCTTTTTTCATGTTTTTGCCAGTTAAATGTTTTGACATTTGCTGATGTTTAATAAATAGCATTAAGTTATATTTTTGATAGCTAAGCTGAGTGGTGTGCGTGTGCTTGCTTGTGATCTGGATAGGGGGACTGACTGGGATGATGCTGGGTGCAAACTAAATAAACTGGAAATTACCCACAGTTATTAATAGACGTATGGCACAGCTAGGGGACACAAAAACACTTCTGCCCAGGCCAGTGCAATTACACTGTTGCATATCTACATGTGTATCAAAAATGATAAGATGGATATTGCAGGACTCACTGTATGGGACTAGGGTGATCTGCTGAGAATGTGCACCCAAGAGATTTTGAGCTGCACATTGGATAAAAATAGGCTCATCTACTCTGTGAAAGTGGAGCTTGCTTGTCACAATGTAAACTTTCCGGTCATCTTCATATGTGAAATTTGTTTGCAGATTCATTTCTTCTGAGCTATTCCCCAGGATCTTGGTAGTTTCCCCAGCACACCTGTTTTGGAAAGCAACCAAAGAGAATTTGGCCATCATATTGAGTAATAGGTTACATCTCTACTGTAGCATATTCATATGTCTGCATACCTAAGTGGGTTAGTCCCACTAAAAGTTTTTTCAGAAGTAGGTTCTATACATTCAGGAGCTCCATGCTTAGCTTCTCAAGCTGCCCTACTACAGAGTCAATTATTCAACCCAGAGCAGGGCAAGCAAACATGTATTTCAGCCATCTTCCTACAGGTAAAAAGGTCTGTAATCCAGTCAGCACTTGGGAACTCTTTGATGTCCCCTTGGTATCTATGATGGAAGAAAGAATAAAACTGCAACAAAAAGGAAAGTCTTAAGTGTATCCATACTTCGAATACACTGCTCCAGTCACCATATTTCAAAAAATATATATTGCATGTGCAGAAAGGGGCAAAATGTTTAATAATTCAGGAATTCCCTATGAGGAAAGCTCAATAAGGACTGAGGCTTTTTAGCTCAGAAAAAAAGGTATTGGAGCATGGACATAAAGCAGGGATAGCAACTCAGAACTATAACCACCAAGGCATCTGTTGACGTGCAAAGAGCAGCAGCTATTATTCTTATAATTATTTTGTAGTTCTCAGAATATTTACGGAGAAAGCATAATGGCCAATAATGTTGGCCAAAAACAGCCACTGTGAGACCACAGGGATGATCAAGGAAGATTTGTGGAAATAAACATCTCCTTTTCCTCCTCCTTCTCCTTCAAAATTATATGGGATAATGGAACCCATCTGAAAACAGGCTGAATATGTTCAGTAACCATGGAAAGCTGATGGTCAATTGGAAAAATGAAAAGAGAGGATAACCTGCTGGAACTGGGTATATTTGGGGGCTTGGAATGCTGGACAGAAATACCCCTATGAATGCACTGAGACATTTTGATGCATATTTCACCTCTTGTTATTATTATTATTATTATTTTTATTTATTAAATTTATATACCGCCCTATCTCCCTTACGGGACTCAGGGCGGTGAACAGGCGATACTAAAAACCACGATAATAAATAAATAGTTTCTGTTCTAAAATCGAATTAAATAACAGGCCTGTTCTAAATCAAATGATTCAAATCATGCTCTAACAAGTAGCAGGATCTGAATTTATCCCACGTATAATGAGATTATAAAAAGAGTGGTCTGCAGGGAAATCCCATGGCAAGTTCTTTCCTGCTGTCCTCCCCACCCAGAGTTTTAAATGCAAAAGGACTCAAAATGTTATCCTTACCATTTGTCATTATTACAGGTATACCAGGTAACCTCTGGCTGGGGCATTCCTTCTGTAGTACAGATCACTGTTTGCTCACCATTTGTCTTGTTGCTACTGTCTCTCAGTTCCGTCACTGTAGCTGGGACTGGTTATATTGGAGAAAATAATATGAGACAAACAAATAATTGGTGATATGGGGTATACAGTTTTTACAAGGGGAGGCTTCCTGAAAGAGGAACGGTACAAAAGGTACTTTCTGAGTCAGAAACATGATGTTTAAATTCCCTGCTAAATCTTACTCTATATTCCATTTATCCTATATTTTTATTTTATTTTTTAGAATTGCTTTTAGTTTCATATTCAGGCAGCTCTGAAATTAACTGGAAATCCCCTAAAGTTCTGGTGACATACACAGTTACCAGTTATTGAGCAATATTGCTACTTGGAAGATTGCTAATAAATGATGCATTGTAGTTATGAGCCTGTGAGTAAATTAATGATCATGTTAAATCACAGCAAACATGGCAACATTAATAACTAATAGTCAGGCTTGTTATTATGCACACAGTGGTACTGCATTGAAGACACACTTGAATGCATGCATAGCAATGGAAGAAAATTTACACTATTTTACACATACAAAAATGGCAGACTGAAGGTGCCGTAAAATCTTAATTGATGTGAATCACTGCAAATACCCACCATAATAACTTGCCAAGGTGTGGTTTTTCTTAACAATTATTGCATAAACAACAATTGGCTAGGTCTATCTACAGTATTCCGAATCATAAACTATAGTTTTTGAGTAATAACGATTGGGTTTACATGACATGCTAAGCCATAATGTAGCTTTTAGAGTTCAGATTAGCCAGAACCCTTCAGACAAATATGAATAGACTATAACCAGAATCACTTTGGCTAAGGAGTACAAGGATAAGTAATTGTTAAACTGTGGGAAAGCCAGAAAAAATAATTAAATCCTTTAATTAATAAAATGATCATAGATAAACTAAGGGTCTCCACTTCCTGTTGATAGAGAGCAATTTAGCTCATTAAAGCAGCTTTATCCTAATATTTGTTAAATGTCAAGATGGTAGCCATAGCTTTATGGTTGAAGCCTGGTCCCTTTTACTGTTGCACGTGTGGCTCTCATAAAAAACGGTGGAGTTTCAACTTGCACTGTTGCAGCTGCCAATTTGCCTTTTTTTCCCCTAAAAAATTCCCATCACTTCTTTCCCCACAGATGCCCCTGCATGAAAATTCTTATCAAGCAATGTTGAGTTTCTCAGTAGCTTCTACTGACTTTGAGCCAGAGAGCCAGACATGGAGAGTAACACATGATAAAGGAAAGTCTGAAGTAGGAACCACACTTGGAAGGAAGAATGGAAAACTGTTCTTAATGGGACAATTTCAAGACCCACTAGAAATTGCTTTAGGGAAGGAAGAAGCTTTTTGCTCGAGAGGCATAAGGAAGCCCTTGAGAACAGTGTTGAATGAACATTGCATTAGAAGATAAAATGGCCCATTTATTTATTAGCCACCATTCTTCTCCAGTTAAAAAAAAAATGACACCCAATCCAAAGATTCTGGGAAGTTTACAACAATAAAAATAAAAGGAATATTAAAACAAGAAGCAATAAAGAATGCACTATGGCCCATAAATATATCTTAGACATCATCATCTTCCTTATTAAAATAAAAGGTTTTAGCATCTTAAGCACTGAAACAATATGAGTTGGGGACAGGATGTTTTGCAATTTGGAGGCTACCCAAGAGAAGGCCTACTTTGTAATCCAGGCCCCCTTTACTTCCTGCCATGATGGTACTTTTAAGACGGCTTCCCCTATTATAATTTCTTCAATACGTAGTTAGTTATGTTTCTTGCAGTGCACCTTCTGGCTAAAAAGGGGAAATCATGCAGTTTCTTATTTTTCATATCCCATTATACAGGTTTTGCAATTTTCTGTCTGCCTTGCCTTTGAACCCAACTCCACTGCTCCCTGTCTAGACTGCAAACATCCAAACAACCACTAGATCAGTGGTTCTCAACCTTTTTAATGCCATGACCCCCAACCGGTCGTAAGTTGAGGACTAAACCGGTCGTAAGTCGAGGACTAAACCGGTCGTAAGTCAAGGACTACCCAACCGGTCGTAAGTCGAGGACTTTCCCTGCCCGGGAGCGCCGTGCATGCGTGGTTCCGCCCCCTGCGCCGGCCGAGGCGTAGCTGGCAAGCGGCAGAGACGGAGCAGGCTGACCACCAGCTGGCCCAGCTCAAGGGAGGTAAGGCACCCACCGGAAAAGGGGAAAAAAATGGCAGGCAGCCTTGCTTGGTGACCCCCATGAAATGGTCGATCGACCCCAAATGGGGTCGCGACCCATAGGTTGAGAACCGCTGCACTAGATGGAAGCAAGGCTTTTATTGAACAGCCAGAGATAATAGAATACACTCAGAAAGCATGATTGATGAAAGGAGCCTCTCCTTGTTTTAATAAGATTCCCCCTCATCCTTTGATAGCTGCATGAAGGAGCTGCAAGTGTACCAGGGACACCCTACTGCATGCTAATGTTCAGCTGTAGCTGATAAAGGAGGTATATGCGGACATTCACAGCTTGCTTCCTTTTCCAAACTCCCTCCTCTTTTCCAGGTTCTGAAAAGACCACAACAAAAGAGGACAATCAATTTCTTTGATTTCTCCAGATAGCATCGGCCAGAAATAGGGTTATGTTCTCCATCAGAGACCCTTACACATGTCTACTGAATTCTTCATTCTGCCAGTTTCTGCCAGTAGACTGCCTTTGGATTCTCTTTTAACACTGACACACAATAGCCAATAGCTACAGTTCCGAATAGATGTTCCAAGTAGGGGTGTGGCTAGCCTAGGAAGCCACAAGTGGTTTTTCTCCTCCATTACCATCCTTGCTCCAGGGGAAACAAGACTATGTGCTAAAATTGGCTCTGGAAGAAAGTTATTTTTTTTTCTTTTTGCAAGAAATCTCATGACATTTTGTCTTGAGAGTCTTATGAGAGTTCGTGTGATATTCAGGTAGTCCTTGATTTGCTATATGACTGGTCACTTAGCGATTGATCAAAGTTATAGCAGACCTCCCACTCAAAAAAAATCCTACTTATGACCAGGTCCTCAAGTTACAACTGTTGCAGCACCCCCATGGTGATTCATCCTACTCTTTGTACACTTAGGTGAAAATTAGTTGCCCTGTCCTGGATATTTAAAATATGATTTAAAATATACATTTAATGAAATATAATCTTTGCAAAGAGGTTCTTTTGGCTGTAAATAAAATTGACTGATTGATCACAAGGAGGTGTGCTCACCATTAATCTGCAAATAGAAGGAGAGCTCTTTTAAATCATCTTCGTGAAATGCTCGGACAGTGTACAGACCTCCCTCACTTGCTTTCACCCTCACAAGGGTCAGAGTAGATTGATACCTGGAGAAAAAAGAATCTTGCAAGAGTTAAGATAGTGGAGCTTATATGGAAGCACAAATTACGTCACTTTCAAGGGGGAAATTCTCCACTCGGAGAGAGAAACCCATTCATTTTAGTTAAGCTAGAAGGAATTACTCTTGGGGTATGTCTATGGAGATTCTTAGTCATCCAGGTCGTAATTATCCCAAAGATAAGCTGAAGAAGCTTCTTGGAGGAGAAGCATCTCTGGGATACTCCTATGATATTTGATAATCTAGAACAGTGGTGGCGAACCTATGGCACGGGTGCCAGAGGCGTACCCTCGCCCCAGTCCTAGGCCTTCAGCTGGGTTTTATAAAACCTTTTCACTTTAGGCCTCCGCTGCCGTGTACAAAAAAAAAGGTTCAATCAGTCAATTTCAACTTCTCACGGGGAAAAAAAAGATCTTGCAAAGTTGGAATTGATTGATTGAACTTTTTAGTCCCACCCAGTCTGCTGTTACCATCGCAGCCACGCCCACCCAATGAGCCACACCCACTCAATGGGCCACACCCACCCGGCACCCCATGATGCATAAGTGGGTTTTGAGTTGCAGTTTGGGCACTCGGTCTCTAAAAGGTTCGCCATCACTGATCTAGAATTTGCCATCATGTGTTAAGTGAGAGCTAACTTAAATGATACAGTGTGCCATTCCATTCTGATTTCTAATTTAGTAAATATAAGTTCCTGGATGCTTGGTTTATATTGGACCAAATGAGTTCAGAGAAAGGGATACAAAAAATATGTCCCTTATCTTTATATTCTTACTATTATCAGCTTTTTCCATACAGGTGCAAACTTTATAAAATCCATTAGTGATGCTAGATTTTTCTCAGTAAAGGGAGGATAGATACCTGTCCATGATGTATACAGTGTATCAATTAAAAATAATAGATGGCTTAATGCTGCATGTACTAAAATGTTGAGATGAAAGTTTACCTGGTTTCTGACAAATTCCTACTATTGATAGCGAAATCACTGTTGCTCTCAGAAGTCAGGGGCTTCTTATTCTGAAACCAGATGATGGTTGGACTTGGATAGGCTTCGATCTGTACCAAAAAGGTGTGACTTTTGTGCAGTTCTGCAAATACGGTCTCATTCAGTACAGTGTGGAAAGTCACAAAGCCACGCTCTGGGTCAGAAAGGGTGAATTGAAAAGAGACAAATGGATCTTATATTATTATTATTATTTTGTGTTTGACAATGTGAGTTAATGATGAGGATAGTTGAGTGGCTCCCTGTTTTAGCACCAATTGACTATTTTAATAAGCAGCATAAAACTATGGGTTTTCAAGAAAGAACTTCAACTTGAATCTTAACATGACTATTCTAATTTATAAAAACCGTAACCCGGATTTTATATTTTAAGATGGCATCCTTGAAGTCAAATCCTAATCAAGATTTTTTGCCAACTACTTTGAGATATTTGGGTGTAATCCAGTAAAGCAAATCAAGTTTAAAAATTGCCTGCTTAAATTAATAAAATGTTAATCCAAAAATGAAACAATTATTAAAGAACCTGCCTTCTTATGAACAGAATTAGGGATGAATTCAAAGAAAGGTACTCAAGGAGGAAATGACTTCCTGATTGTCAACTTGGATCAATATGAAAAAAGTTATAACCTGGACTTAACCTCGATGCAATCAAGCTTTTTTTAAAATGAAAAAATAAAAAGTGCCATATTTTTGCCAGATAGGTCTGCACAAAACCATGCATTCTGGAGGCTCTTAAGGGCAGCCCCACATAGAGTGTTTTGCAATAGTCAAGACGGGAGGTGACTAAGGCATGAATGACCATGAGTAGGGATTGTTGGTCCAGGAAAGGGCATAACTGGTGTATTCCATAACCTGAACTAAGATGCTTTGTAGTTCTGGCCCAGACAGCATTAACTCAATGAAAATGGTTTTAAAACATATATTTATTGTCCGGGAATTCTAAGCAAAGACTTAGTATGCTGAAGATACATCCGGTGTTTGCATATCTGTCCATTTTTGTAGGTAAAAAGCAGTAATTCTCCATATCAGCTTAACGTGGTTGCAGATGCCATGCATGCATCCACATGCTGGTTACATAAAGGATTTTACAACCCTGGCATGTAACAGGATGTCCTGCAATAACTTTTAATTCCTCCCACTGACTAGATGAGCTACAGCATAGACTAATGACTGAACTACATTACCCATAAGCCATCTCTTAAAGAAACAGCATTTAACCCTTTAAATGCTAAATACACTAACATAGTTCTTAAGCTAACTCCGCACTTGGAAATATAAATTTCCACTACTAACTAACTAGAATAAGCAAAAAACATAGCACTAAAGCATGCAATTTTCATTACTAACTGACTATTAACTAAAATAGGCAAAACATAATATCAAAACATGCATAACTATAACTGAGATAAACAAAGGCATTACATCAAACAATGCAATTATGAGGTAAAGATAATATACATAGTTTGAGGATCAATCTTCAAGTTCAGTCTTCTTCAGCAATAGGACCAGTTCGGTGATCGGTCTGGTGTAAAGCCTTTTAATGAGAATCTTTGAGTCACGATCTGACTCATGTGGCTTCTTGGTCTGGACTTCAACTTGGCGAACTAGTCCATCAAAACTGGGTAGGGCCCGGTGCACAAGTCCCATAAACCAAGAGTTCCGATGTGCGTCCTTGTCTCTCAGCAAGACAAGGTCTTCTTCTTCTAGGTTAGGCTCTTTGGTCTTCCATTTGCGACAATCCTGAAGGGTAGACAAGTATTCTTGCTTCCAGCGCTTCCAGAAGATATTGGCCAGTAGCTGAACTTGTCTCCATTGCTGTTTATACATGTCTTTGGGAACAAATTTCCCCAATGGTGCTGGTCAATCGCCTGTCTTCTGGGTTAACAAAGTAGCTGGGGTGAGGATAGTTGGATTTTCAGGATCCGAAGAGACTGGAACCAAAGGTCGAGCGTTGACGATAGCTGCTACTTCTGCCATGAGGGTAGTGAGGACCTCATGCGTCAGTGTGGGTGTCTTAGTCAGCATAGAGTCCAGGATTTTGCGTGCTATGCCAATCATGTGCTCTCACACTCCTCCCATGTGAGATGCATGGGGAGGATTGAATGTCCAAACACAATTTTGGGCCTTTAGGTACTTGTCAATGTCTGAATTGGGACGAATGCCTTCATCAATCTGCAGTTCCTTGTAGGCCTCTACAAAGTTAGTTCCACGGTTAGATCTAAACACCTTAACTGGGTCTCTTTAGGCTTGGAATCTTCTTAGAGCATTGATGCAACAAGAAGGGTCCATAGATTCGATGACCTCAATGTGGACAGCTCGAATGCTGAGACACATGAAAAGTACGGCCCAACGTTTGCTGTTGGCTTGACCATCTCTGGTCTGACAAGCAGACATGGACCAAGGCCCGAATACATCTAGGCCTACATTGGTAAATGGTGGTCCTGGAATGAGGCGCTCGGGTGGCAGGTCAGCCATCAACTGGTGTTGCGTTGTACCTCGTTGTTTACGGCAATGCAGACATCTGTACAAGATGGTGGTGATACTTCTTTTGGCTCCCACGATCCAGAAGCCAGCCGCTCTGATGGCACCTTCCGTGAAGTGCCTGCCTTGATGATGGATGGCTTCATGGTAGTGTTGAACCAACAGGTGTGTGACATGTTGACGTGCAGGAAGGATGATAGGGTGCTTGATGTCTGAAGCTATCTCGGCCTTGTCTAGATGCCCTCCTACTCGGAGCAAGTTATGACTATCCAAGAATGGGTTCAATTTTAGCAGTGAACTAGACTTTGGGATAGGCTTTTTAGCTTCCAGACATTCCAATTCCAGTGGGGATATGTCTTGTTGCACACTTCGAAGAATCCCTGTCTCAGCCTGGAGACAGCTGTCTGGGAAGCTCATCTCATGGTCCAGGAAACGAACGATCACTGCTACGCCTTCTATGAGAGGTCTCCATCTGGAGAAGCATTTGAAGCGAGTCGGTTCTAGGAAATGATGAGATGGTTTCTGTCTCCATGATGTTCGTAGACAGGCAGACAATCTGGGCGGTCATTTTTTTGCCCTGTCTGAGTGATTTGTTGGGTGCCTGAGGTCGCAAGTCATCGTCCTGATCTGGGTCTAGCAGCTTGTAGTGTTCTGGTTTTTCTGACGCCTGGCCATTTGGATACGCCAAAAGCTCAGGACCCTTTAACCAGACTGAGTCTGACAACTGTGATGCAAGAATGGACCATGTAGCCTGGTCTGCTGGATGCTGATCTGTTGGCATATATCGCTACTGTTCAGGATTTGAGGATCTTTTGATCCTTTCTACTCTATTACTTACGTAGATATAGAAGCATCTACTTCGGTTGTGGATGTAGCCTAACACCACCTTGCTGTCTGTATAGAAAGTGGTGGACTGTAATTCAAGGTCCATCGCCTTGTGTTATCAGGTCTGATATTTCTACAGCTAAGATGGCACCGCAGAGTTCTAATCTGGGTATGGTGTGACTTTGTGGTGGTGTTAGCTTTGCCTTTCCTATGATGAAACCGACGCTGCAGCTCTCCTTGCTGTAGACTTTGATATATCCTACAGCTGCTATTGCCTTCATTGAAGCGTCTGAGAACATGTGCAGCTTCTTCTTCGTTGCAGTGGCAAGTGGAAGGGGAACATACATGCGCTGTATGTGGATGCTTTGGAGGCAACTCAGGGATCTGCACCATGTCTCCCACTCTTGCTTGTGCTCTGGTGGAAGCAGCTTGTCCCAATCTGTGGCGTGTTGGGAGAATGAGCGCAGAAGAAGCTTTCCTTGGATTGTTATGGGTGCAGCAAAACCTAGAGGGTCAAACAAGCTGTTTACTGTGGACAAGACTCCTCTTCTTGTGAAAGCGTTGTCCTTTGCCGGGGTTCTAAAGGTGAAGATGTCCTTCTTCAAGTCCCAACACAAACTGAGACTACGTTCGAAGTGAGGATCGTCTGTGCCAAAGTCGAGGTCCTTTAGACTTTTAGCATGGTCTTTAGGATCAAACACTTCTTCGCTGTTTGATGCAATTTTGTGCAGCCTAAGGTTAGCTGCCACCAACACCTGGTGAGTCCTTTTTATTAGGTCTATAGCTTCTGCTGGAGTGGGTACAGATTTTAAGCTGTCATCGACATAGAAATCCCGTTCTACTAAGTGTCTGGCATCTGCACTGTATTCGGCTTCACCTATACGGGCGGTGCGTTGCAGGCCATAGTTAGCAATTGCGGGGGAAGAACCATTTCCAAAGACGTGCACTCGCATTCTGTATTCGGTTACCTGCTGGTTGTGTTGGTCATTGCTGAACCACAGGAAGCGCAGGTAATTGCGATGATCTTCCCTGACATAGAACGAATAAAACATCTTCTGGATGTCAGCCATGACTGCCACAGCTTCCTTTCTGAAGCGGATGAGTACTCCAAGCAGACTGTTGATGAGGTCAGGCCCTGTAAGAAGGACCTTGTTCAAAGAGATGCCTTGGTGCTGTGCACTGGCATCAAAGACTACTCTTATCTGCCCTGGCTTTTGTGGGTGGTACACCCCGAAGAATGGTAGATACCAGCATTCTTCATCTTCTTCATTGGTGGGGCAGGCTCTGCATGTCCGTTCTGGAACATCTTTTTCATGAATTCTCCTAGATGCGTTTTCATTTCAGGCTCATGACTCTTCTCAGATTGTTGAGGCAAGAGAGAGCTTGCTCATGATTGTTGGGTAGGTGCTGCCTGGGTATACAGGAAGGTAATGGGGCTACCCAACTCCCTGCGGCATCCTGCAAGCATTCCTTGTCCATGAGCTCTAGAAATTCTTTGTCCTCTATTGACGGGCCCACGTCATTGTCATTTTTGCTGGTCTGGAACACTGTCGTTCCTAAAGCAGGCTTGGCTGTTGAAAGCGTGAAGTGTTCTTGGCATGGTTTCATGTGAGACGCTCTCGCCATTCCTGAGAATGGAGGTCGCTGCCATGTACGTTTGGGTTGGGACTTGCAGCCAATCGACGCAGACCCTTCCTGCAATGATCCATCCAAGCTCCATCTTAAGGGCAGTCGGGCTGCCTGATGGGCCTCTGACTATATCTTGATAGGCATAGGAGTCGGGGGCGTCTTGTCCCAACATAAGTAGAATTTTGGCCTTGGGATCTAAGG